GTGCAAAATCTTTTTAGTTTGATGTAGTTCCATTTGTTTATTTTTGCTTTTGTTTCCCTTGCCTGAGGAGATCTATCAAAAAAAAAGCTACTAAGACCAACGTCAAAGAGCTCATTACCTCATTTTCCTTCCAGAAGCTTTCTGGTTACAGGTCAGGTCTTACATTTAAATCTTTAAATGATTTCAAATTTATTTTTTGTGCATGGTATGAGAGAGTGGTTGTCTAGTATGATTATTTTGCATGTAGTTGTCCAATTTTCCCAACATCATTTATTGAAGAAAGTTTTTAAAACATTCTTTACTAAGTAGTAGGATGTATATTTTTGTAGTGAATCTACAAGATTTTCCCAACGTTAAAACCCTTTTCTCAGGATAACACATTTTATTAAACTAGCTTTTAAAAGTATGCTTTAAAAAGACAACTTTTTATTAGTAATTTTCCATTGATTGTATATGTTATAATTTATTTATTCTTTCACCTGATAATAGACATTTGAGTTGTTTCCAGTTGTGGCTATAATAAATGATATTTTTCTAGTTCAGCCATCATGATTACTTGTATACATGTCTTTTTGTAGACATATGTTTTCATTTCTTTTGGATAAATACTTAGGAATTAAAGTGCTGAGTCATATGGTAGGTGTTTCTTTAACTTTAGAAAAAACTCCAAATTGTTTTCTAAAGTGGCTAAACCATCTTATATTCTCATCGACAATGCATGAAATTTTGATTTCTTTCACTTCTTTACCAACACTTGATATCATGAATGGCATCCCATGCTGATACCTGCAACAATGTGGACAGAGCTCAAAGGCTTTAGGCTGAGAGAAATAATCATGCACAGGGGAGTATATACTGTATGATTCCATATATGAAATTTTAGAAGGCAAATCTGATCTATAGTGACGTAAAGCACATCAATATTTGCTTGGTGGGAGGAATAGGGTTAAAGATTACCTGCAAAGCACATAAAACAAACTTATGAGGATCATGGAAATAGTCTTTATTTTCATTAACCAGTTGCATCAGTGTAAATATTTGTCAGAATTTATCAAAATGTATACTTAAAATAGGTGCATTAAATTGTATGTAAGTTATACACTTGTAAAATTGAAATAATAAGAAACATATCAAACTTGATTTTGATTATTAGCATAAAGCCCTAAAGCTATCAGCTTGCTGTTAGGAATACAAAGCATGTTAATAATGTGAAACAAGGGTACGGGCAATCTACGTAAGCAAGCACTGTGCTTTCCAGGGAAGCATGTAAACACTTTCTGAATGTCCTGCATTTTGTCAGCCTCAGCTAAGTCCTTACACCTAGAGAGCAAAATTCTGTTCAGATAGTCAGTTGGGTCAGGTTCTGATATTTCTAACTTGCCAAAATCTGAGTACATGTTAATGATTATTAAATTAATAGATTTATTTTATAGAAAGCAATGCAAGGGAGAAGAGCATTTATCATTCCCCCACCTAAGGGCAATTATTGTTCACGTTTTAGAGTATTCCTTCATCTTTAATGCAATTTTTACATGTCTCATATAATATGATAAGTGCTATTTTGTCAGTGCATTTTTTACTCAATATTAAATCATTAACATTTTCCCAAGTCATTAAACATTCCATAAACATAATTTTAATAACTGCATAATAGCTCATCATATGCCTGTACCATAATTAATGACTCCTCTTTTAATGGCATTTAAGAATTTTTTTCTAAATAGCAGGCACATTGCCTAGACCACTGAAAGTTCTCCAGAAATTTTGTTGAACGAATGAATGAGTCATAAACAATGTTGTGAAGAACATCTTTGTGTCATAATTTTTATATTTTGTGAGAAACTTTAAGATAAATTCCCAGAACTAGAATCTAGAATGTCTGTGTCAAACATATAAAAAATATTAGGGGTACTGATTCATTTGTCAGAAGCTTTTAGCTTGGGAGAAAAGACAAAAATGATACTATATATGGGCCTTCAAAATTTAACTTAGACACATTTTAAAATCATTAAATGTATTTTAGAGAGTTATGGTTCATTTTTGACTGGATATTTCTCTTAATGGCATTCTAGTATGATCAATTAAAGGTAAAACTTTGGCCATTCTTTTTTCTTTCTTTTTTAAAATAACCTCAAGGTAGTCCTATCTCTAAGAACATTTTGATTTTAGATCGTCTCTGATCCCACCACATTTATTTAAGTCTACTTTCTAAATTCAAGATTTTCTGTCTTGTTTATAGCTTCTTTTGCTGTTTTGCCATCACTGCCTTTTTTCATCCAGTTTGGTCAAGGTGTAAATTTGTTTCCACTCTGGGACTTGCCGAGTAGCAAGACACTAAGAAAACACAAAAGTAGTCTGTTGTGGTGATGGTGGCGGAGTTGACATGTTTTATATAGTGCTCTGCTCTATATTCAACTGCCCTGGTTTATTTTCCCAGTTAGCCTCAGGCATGAGCTGCAAGTTCTTTCAGTGTTGCCTCCTTTTTGCATGTATTTTTCAAAGTTAAACTTTCTCACTAAGGAAATGAGCAGGTCTTGGGCCTTCCTGAACACATTTCAGGTCCTATTCATCAAGCTGGCCATAAAAGCAAGAGATCATCATGGCTGATCTGGTTCTAAGGCTGAGAATAGCTCCAAGCTGGCCCCTACTCCTGCCTATTCTGACCTGATTTCAGCCCTTGGTGGGAGGGGCTCTGCCTAGTACAGTGATATGAAGCTGGAAAAAAGATTGTCTTGCCGTCTTGCTGCTAGGGCATTGATCCTTGAAAATTTCTTAATTTCTTTATGTCTTTTCTGGTTTCTTCATTTCCAGTTCTCCTCTTTCTTTGCAATTTCAGGCAGTTGCTTAACATAAAAATATTGTAGTTTATTTTCAGAAGACTGCTTTCCTGGGAGAGAAATCATCTTTTTAACAATAATTTTAACACTAATTAAATTATGTCATACACCTTACATAAGTCATGCTTAGGACTTTATGTCTATATGACCGAAATAACCAGACCAGTATATTTTCTTGATAGTTTAGCCATTATAAAAACTATATCCATACACTGCATACATAGTCTGCCTGGATGACTTTTGCAAAGATGAGTCTGAAAAAAGTAAACAAAATGATCAGTGCAACTGATTAAGGGTCAGCGTCTCAATATCTTCTATTTGTTTCAATTTGGGAAGGAACATTTCTTCTTTTACTTCTTTGAATAGAATTCATAAATTTCCATTTTATTGAAACTTTAAAATTTTAATGAAGATTTATAAAACTTATAGGAAAAAACTGGCTCACTGTTTCTGTCTGGGTTAAGGTTTAAAACTGAGGTACCAAATCTGAATGCTCTTACAGAAAGTCTCAAATATTTTCCAAGATCTTATTGCTGACATGTGACAGTGAATAAGGCTGTGATATCTTAAAATCCAATTTAAAGCTTTTTAGACTAATCAATACTGCTTTTCAATTAAAAAATGCATTTCTCTACATTAGAAATGAGGTGAGAGATAATGTCTAAGTGGTTAGTCCAAAAGTATGGCACGATTCCCTGGGCAGCTGCCCATTTCCTTGACTCCATTGCTATGCACTTCAGGAGGGCATGTCAATGCTGCAGGCCGAGTAAGGGTCAAGGATTTGGGGAAAACAGGTGTCGCTCAGAGCATTTTATTTGACAGTAGTGAGCACTCAGGTCACTGATCCAGTGGAAGGAAAATAGGCCCAACAGTGCAAGCTGTACGGGTGACATGTTTTGCCCTCCTTTCTGTATTCATTTCCTTTCTGATTCACATGGAATCTTTTATTTTTCAACAACATGGAGGAATGCCTATTGCTTCTGGGCCTTAGAAGTCAAAAGATACCGTAAAATTTTGAAATTTCAAGACAGGATGAAACATAATAGGCCAGTGTTGGGGTGATTTGGAGATAAATTCCAGCTACTGTCAAGAGGTATAAATAATGTGTGCAGATGATTTAGACAATGAAACAGCTTTTTGGGGGGGGTGGTTAATATGCTTTGGCTTTAATTTTCCTACAAACGTGAAGTAGACACAATATTTCATTTTTTCATTTGAATTCTCTTTTATTTTTTTCACTTTCCTTTGATTTTTATTTCGCTTTCTTTCTCAGTCTTTCTCACTCAGGCTCACTTGTGCACGTGCACGCGTGCACACACAACACACACACACAAAGTCACATTTCCCTCTTTGAATAAAGGAGACGGTTTTATATAATTTTTCAGGATTTTTAGTTTGAGTATTATTACTCTTAAAAGTTGGGCACATTTTACAATATTCCTTGAAAAATAGCTACGTCATCTTTCTACCTGATGCTTACTACACAAAATTAGAATATTTTTAATTCCAGCTTTTTACTGTATTTTTAAATTCCTTTTAAAGTAATAATCCTCTATGAAGATACTATCAGGAGGCATTAAATGACATTAAATAATTTTGTAAAATATCATAAAAAGTAGACATTTCTCTAGATACTCCTAATACTATTTTATAGCTTATTTAGTTGGCATCCTTCTAATACTTTAGAGTATTTATGAAGACAACTGGGAATTAATTTACCAAACATTGAGTTTGAACCCACTATAGCATATTATATTGCTTTAGTAGTACCAGTATAAATGAAAAAAAATGTTAAAAAGTGTATCAAGATGTAAATGGATGTTAAAAGAAATATGAAATGTACTGTTATGAAATGGTAATATTATGAATATCTGTTGGTATATTCTAGCAAATAAAAGAATCTGTTTTTTATAAATGCAGTAGACACAATTAATCCACACCTGCCAAATTCAGGCTTGAACAGGTAAGGGAAAAACTAAAGGCAATGAATATAGATTTTTTTATATTTATAAGGAAATGTTATATGGATCAATTTGTAAGCTTGCTTCTTCTTTTTTTTTTTTTTTTTGGTAAAATGAGAAATACCAATTGTTATCCATAAAACAGGCTTTACTTTTACGTTTGACATTTGGTTCATAAATGTTTCTTTGTTTCCCTTTTCAGGCTCAACTTTCTTACATAATTAAGACTTTGCAGCTTGAGGAATGCCAAGAACCACATCTGCACTGAAATCAATCATCTGTTTGGTAAGTGCAGCACAAAACATTTGATAAATATTTTTTTATCTGTAGTAAACTCCAATGTTCATGGTTTATCTATGATTTTATTGAAGACTCTTAAGAAAATTTCTAAGCATCACTTAAGATTATTTTGTCCAAACTGCATTGTATTCTGGCAAGGTAGGGGACCTGCTTTTACGGACATGTTTAGCCTATTGTGTTTAAACTGAGGAAGTCTAATATGCTGCCATTCTTCAACAAAAAACCAGAAAGACTGAAAATACATGCCTTTGTATAATCCGTTTGAATCTGGCACTTAAACTTTTCATCAAACTCAAATTCAAAGCAAAATACTTCTAATGGATCATATTGAAAACTTAAACCTCACTTGTCTTAGTCTGGTCTAACCGCTGTAACAGAATGCCACAGACCAGGTAGCTTATAAACAGCAGAAATGTGTTTCTTATGGTCTACGGGCTGGGAAGTTCACGGCTAAGGTGCTGGCGGTTTTGCTGTCCGGTAAGGGTTCGTAAACAATCGGCTTCTCACTATGTCCTCACGTGGCGGAGGGACGAGGAGATCGCTGAGGTCTCTTTTATAAGGGCCCGAATCCCTTTCATGAGAGCTCCTTCCTCATGACCTAATCACCTTCCAAAGACCCTGCTTCCAAATATTGGGGATTGGATTTTAACATGTGAATTTGAAGGGACACAAACGCTCAGCCTGTAGTATCACTCTCTGTTGATACTTCTTTCATCACTTTATTTTATGAAGATTAGGAATTTAGAAGCTCAGGACATTTTACTTCAACTGTTCACCCAATCTTCCTTAGAGAGGAAGCACTTCCCAAACATCTAAGTATTTTCTTGTTATATTTGCCCTTTGGCCTCTCTTTTGCCCTTTCACATTTTTTGTTGACGTCTTTTTTTTTTTTTTTTGCTAAAGGCTGAAAAATAAAATGGACTGCAATTTGAATCTTTGATAATATGACCAAATATATAAAATTCCCCAGTATATTATTGTCATTAGTTAAATCTTTACAAAAATGGTGACAAAGCAGTGGCAAAAGTATAAAAAGCAGTTAGAAATACTGTGAAGAAATTAATCCAAGAAATTATAATATAGAAATAAAGTATGGGAGAACAAAAGGTTGAGAAAGAGAAAACACAATAGAATGTACAAGAATTAATATTGAGTACTAATCGTTTACTCAGTATTTATTGAACAGCTACTTCATTCTAAAAGCTGATCTATTTCTATGATTTGCCACTAATCACTTTGTAGTGAGTGCATGGAATTGGGCTGAGGATACAGCAGTAACTAGAACCAAAGAAGGAGAGACTGCCCTCATGGAGCTCACACTCTAAATAAGTAAAATGAGTGGAATAAGTAAAATATATAATAAATAATAAGGAAAATAATAAGTCAAATAATAAGTAAAATAGCTATTAAAGAAAATAAGTGAAATATATAGTATGTTAGATAGTGATAAGTGCAGTGAAAACCCAGAGTAGTGATACAGGAAGTAGGTCATGTGCATGTGCGTGTGTGTGTGTACAATTGTAGATAAAGTGTCGAGGGAATTGCTCACTGAGAAGGTGACATGTAACTAAAGACCTAAGGAAAGGAGAAAACAAGTCACATGAGTATTAAAGTGTAGAGCATTAAAGGCAGAGGAGGAAGCATTGAATTCGAAGGCATTGAATTGGGAGCATGCCGGGTTTATCTGAGGAATAAAAGACACTAGTGTGGTTAGAGACGTGATGAGCTGTATTGGCAAGGGAGAAAATTTAGGTGACAAAGTCAAAGAGGTAACAGGGATTCAGAACAGACAGGACCTTATACATTATGAGATCTTTGGCATTCACTGTAAGTAGGAAAGGGAAATTTGAGCATAAAAATGTGACAGTTTATTTTACCCTTTCATGAATTTCCTCTGGCTGTAGTTAGGCATAAACTATAGGGAGCAAATGAGAGAACAAAAGAAGAGCTGAAAGTTTTTATAATAATCTAGATGGGAGATAATGGTGGTTTGATTTGAGGTAGCAATGGATATGAAAATTGTCACTTATTACTGATAGCTGAAATACAGTGGATAACAAGAGTTGACCACTGGATTTGGCAAAGTAGAGTTCTTTGGTGATTCAGTTTTGGTGTAGTGGATAGTGGCAAAAGCTTCTTTGGAGTGTGTTTAAATGGAAATGGAAGGACAAAGTGAGAGATATCTTCAAAGAAGGAATTTTGCTGCAAAAGGAAGCAGAGAAATTGGGCAGAAACTGAAGGGAAATGGGGCCCAGAGATGAGAGAGCTGTAGAGAAAAGAAGATGAGCTGATACCAGAGAAAGGAAAGAGTTGTTTCAGTGATGTGATAGATAATGTCCTGTGTGATGCAATCCATGGATAAATGGAGGAGTTGGCCTTACATGGTGGTAAGGATAACTTATCCAGATAGAAGGAAAGGCAAAATATAGAGGCACAGAAGCAGGTTGCTAGAATTATGAAGAAAATGGGATAAGCTTGTGGAAATTCTCTTCTACAGGTTTCTACTTTCTCAATCATGTTGAGAGTGAACATGGGGAAGGAAATACTGGAGACTGCAGGAGGAGGGGGTGTGAGTAAGTCATCATTCTAGGTGATGGAAAGAGTGAATGAAAATACAGTCCCATTTGAACACTCAGGACACAATTGAGGTTTGTGATTATAAGTGAAAGTGAGTTCAGAAAGCATCATGTGTTTCTGTGTGTATTTCTCCAGCTGCATTCAATACAACTGTACATGCCAGAATAGGCAGAGGTGAGTTTAACCAGGTAGGGTGTCTTGCCATCCAGGACAGTTGATTAAAAGAGAAGGCGAGGGAGTTGGTAATGTATGTGAGAAAATATAACTGACTGAGGAAGTCCGCTGTGTAAGGAGGAAAGTGGGGACAAGGCTGGTTAGGACCATGAAAATCTGGTAGAATCAATGGATATAGGTCCCCCAGGGTCAAGGGTTGTTGAAAATGGGGTTTAAGAGAGTGAACCAGAAACATTAGATGTGGTAATTATAGATCAACAAAATAAACATGAAGTTACAGAAGAGAACAGGTGGAATTTTCACAAAGTTTAAAGAGAAGATAAAAATCATATCTTTGTTGAGGATACATGAAAATTCCAGTTCAGTAGTTTGTTTTGAATGCAGGATCCAAGAAATTGTACAGAATTTAGTTACGCTACTCAATACTGAGCTCCTTCAAAAGGACTGCTAAATGCACTATTAATCTACCATAGATCTATTGTTAGTCATTTTTTCATAAAGCATTTTAGAAGCATTAATATAACTTTTTGAGGGTGACATCATTTTTATCACATCTAAGTTTATTTTACATGCCTTAAAAGTATCCCTTTCAAGCTTCAATACCCATTTGTTATATACATATATTCATGTTGTGTCTATGTCTCTGTATGTGTGTGTATATATATATAGGGATTAGGGGCACTGACCCTCTGTGCAGTAGAAAATACAAGTGTAATTTTATAGTCAACCCTCTCTATGTATCTGTGGTTCCACATCCAGGGATTCAACTAACCAAGGATCAGGTAGCACTGTAGTATTTACTACTGAAAAAAATCTGCATTTACGTGAAGCTGCCTAGTTCAAACCTATGTTGTTCAAGGGTCAATTATCTATATAGGTAGATATATAGATATGTATCTTTTATGATTGATAGTCCTTTATAACATTAATTCTGAAACTCATAGTCATATACTGAAACATCTTTAAAAGTATATGTTCCCATAAAATAATCTTTTTTATCTACTTTCATCTGCTTATGGTGGCCCATTTTTGTGCTCTGTTCATTTTCCATCCTTCACATGCGTTTTGTAAGGTTTTAATAATGAGAATCTAACATTTGTTTTTGGCTATTAAAGCCAACATGTAGGTCCTCTGTTTTTAGAGAACTTGAATATGAAGTCACTTTGTTATGCTATAAATGTCAACAGAAAAACAGGTTTCTGTAAGCAACGTTAAAATTATTTTTTCTATATTGTTTTAATTGTACTAAAATCCTATTTCTTCTATGTACGTCACCTTAAAAAAAATCTCTTTAGAATTTTAAAGTTTCACAGGGAGGAGGGAACTTAGATCACCTGGTTTGGCATTTACATACTTTGCATGAGATGATAATGAATGTCCTCTTTGTTGTATACTCTATTTTCTTGTAAGACAGTCAGGAAATATATTATCATGTTAAAAATTCTGGGAAATCCTACAGTAAAGAAATCTGACCAAATTTGACATAGCTTTTCCCAGACTTATTTGATATCAAAATATTACCCATTTTTATTTTTTCCTGAACACCTATTAATGTCTCATTGAATGAATCCTTCTCGGAACAGTCTGAGAAATGTTATTCTCTCTATAAATGAGTAAACAGAGACATGATATATTGATAGAGTTTTCCAAAGTTATATGGCTATTAGCAGAATGGATCAGAACTAATTCGGACTCTCAACTAAGTGCTCTTTTTTCTTGCCATTTGACTTCTGGTACTTTCTTATCTCCAGTGCTGTGCTGAGCCATGTTGGATCCTGAGACAAAAGAAAAAAATCTGTTAACACTAATCTT